TCGCTGCCTGCGCCCGGGCCGGGGCCCTACGCTAGTCCCTGCCTCCCTGCCCCACTGGAGGGCTCTGGAGAAAGTGGGTACTTCTGGGCAAGGGACGGGGTCCAGGCTGGAGAAAGACAAGGAACAGTGACGGAAGCCTTACCAAATTGTCCAGCTCTGGGTTTGAGGAAAAAAGTGGCTTTTCGGCGCGAACCTATAAGAAGCAGGGGAGGTCAGCATGAATGGCCACTCCACGTAAAAGCAAGGGAACAAGCCCACCCTGTCACCGACTACTCTGTCGTGTGTGAGTGGGGATGGTGGGGGGACAGAGGCAGAGAAGAGGAAAGGGGCTTTGCTCAAAGGCATGAAGCGAGCCAGTGCCTTGCATTGGTGGGGTCAGCTTCAGCTGCGAAAGACTCAGGCCTGCTGGTTCCGGCCCCATGAAGGGGTCCCTGGAACAGCTGAACCGTGGCCTGGGAACTCCGGGCCCCGAGGACTCCCTGATCCTGGGGTCCCAGTGGCTCTCAGCCTCCCGCACCTCGGCGCCCGACGCGGACCGCCCGGAGAGGCGCCCGGCTTCCTTCCCTCCCGGGCACTTTCGGGTCCCTCACAGCCCCTGTCCCCCATTCTTGTTCAAGTAGCTACAGGAGGGGGGAAAGGCCAAGCCACAGATTAGGAGCAGGTCAATTTTAATTCGAGGGTCGAGCCCCTGTATTCCTGGCTGGGGGGGAAAACAAACACCCATATTTATCTCCGCTTCCCATTTGCCTCCAGGCTCAGGGATGGGGAGGAGCGCGGACTGGGCCGGAGGAACAGATCGGGTGTCCCAGCCTTTTCCTCCTCTTTCATGTAAAGCTCGGAGGGAAGGGGAGGGGGGCGATGGGGCCGCCGAAGGGTGAGTGGGTCAAGAAGGTTAGACCTGCTTGGCGAAGACCGCGATGTCCTCGTTGAAGGAGTCGGAGGAGCAGACGTCTCCGCCAGCCACTCCGGGTTCCCGGGGAGTGCAGGTCGCCAGCTCGCACTTCTCAAAGACCAGAGCTAACAGAGGAAACAACGGGTGCCTAACGGGCAGCGCCACGCAGAGACACACACACGGAGACGGGGTGCAGAGGGGAAGGAGCAAGAACTGTAATCAACAAGTTTGGAGGGTTCCGAGTCCTTCTTTAATACACCCAGGCACGCATCACACTTTACCACCCTTCTCCAGCTAGCCGAGCCTGGGCCAGAAACAGAAAGGAAAACCGGCCTGGCTCTTTCCCCGCAGCTCAGGGGGTCCCCTCGGATCTGCCGGGAGAACCCCTGGCCCCTGGCCCCGCCAAGTCACAAGAGCCTCAGTGGGAACGTAATGAAACGTCCAAGAGGCTCAGGCAGCCCGGAGCCTGGAGTGGATCCAGACCCACTCACTCCCCACGCTCCAGAGGCCGCCACACTCACTCCTGAGACCCAGCCCTGACCTCCCCAGAAAGGAACACGCTGTGAAATTTTTTAAAAATTGCCTGCACTCCGCGTTTCAGCGGGCATTGCAGAGGAGGCCGAAGCCTTCGCCTTCCTACACACCCGAGGTGCTATTTCCTAAACCGGCGAGAGGGCTCTCCGAGCCCCTCCACCCCCTGGCCTTTTAAACTTGTTTGCTCGACTTCTAGCAAAACGCCCGGTGCGAGGGCCAAAATAAGAGTCATCTCACACGCCGAAGAGCTCCCACCCGGAGACACGTCTCTCCAGCAGGCAGAAATAAATGAAGTCGAGCGCTAAAACTTGGTGGTGTGCGTGCGCGTCTGCCCTTTGTGTTCCTCCGGGCGGTGGAGCTACACTTGGGGATGCTTGCGGCCTCTGGCTTCGGGCTCAGTCGCTGCCGACCGCCCGGCTGTCCCCTCCCCTCGGCCTCCCGCAGCCTCCCCCACCTCCCCTCCGCGGGGACAGCCCGAGTGGTCCGCGTTGGGACCGCGCAGCCCCGTCCATCCCTGAGTGCTCTCCGAATAGAAAATAATTTCCAGCCAGCTCCCTCTCTCCCCCCAAGAGCGGCTCTGTGCGAGCAGCAGTCCCTGCCACCGGCTGCACTTCAAGGTCTGCCCCTTTATTTACAGAGAATTAAGAAGTGGGCGATTAGGACTTCCCGGCCCCCAGAAGCAGCCCTGATCCCAGCTCAAGCTGCGTTTAGTGACTCCCAGGCGCTTGGTAGGAAACACAAGAGGGAGAAAAAAGTTGCTCGTCCTCGGCAGGAAACTTTCTCCTTCGTCAAGGCCTCTGTGAGGGGGCCTGGAAGGACCGGCTCTCCGTCCTTTGGCCGGGAATCCCGTCCTTGGGGAGAAGGCCCTGGCAAGCTGCTGAAGACTCAGTCATTCCGGGCTGTGGGGTCCGGAGTGACAGGGCCATGGGGGTGGAGGAAGCTGGACCTTCTGGGGACTTAGACTCAAGGGGCACCGCAGGCCCCCTACACTGTCCTTCCTTAAGGCAAGCGCCCCCCCTTCTCTAAGCAGAAGTAACTCCCCACTTAGTCGTTCACCCCCTCACACCCCCCCCCCACACACAACAAACACACACTCAAACTCACACTCACACACAGCACGTCGGGTCGTGGTCGTGGGGGGTGGGGTGGAGGGTTACCCATAGATCGCGTCCTTGTCCCGCTTCAAGGCGTCGTTGACAGCGGATCCCATGCTGGCCGGCATGACATTGGGGTGCGGGGCGTGCGCGCCGTAGTGCTGCGTGGCGTGGAGCGGCGGCCCGTGGTTCAGGTGGTGAACTGGGGGGATCGGCCGCGGCGCGTGAGGGTCTCCGTACATGGAAGCCGGCACCCCTACTCCGTCCATCCCGCCGTAATGGGGCAGCTCATCGTACTGTCAGAATCCGGCAGAGGGGAGGGGGCGCAGGCGGCGAGAGAGAGCGAGAAAGCCGAGGGGGGACGGAAAAAGGGAGCCGGGAGAAGACGGCAAGGGGAGAAGTGGGGAAGGAATAGGGATGTGAGAGGGAGAACGACGAAGGGAAGACGAGAGAGGAGGGGGGAGTCAGGAGGGGGGGGGGAGAGAGAAAGAGAGAGAGAGAGAGGGAGAAAAAAATAAAAATAAACACAAAGTCAGAAAGGAGAAAAGTACCGAGCACGAGTTAAACACACAAAAACCAAACCAGCCGAAACAACGGAGCTGAAAGTTGGGGGAATTTTTTTTTCCAATTTTAAAATTAAGAAGTCTGAATGAGGAGCAGCGTTTAAAGCAGGAAGAGGGGGGCGGCGAGGCCGGGGACCCGGGGGTGCTCGGAGGTGCCGCTCGGGCCGGAGGCAGCAGAACCGAAGCGAGCCAACCGAGGGAGAAGTGGAGTTCGTGTGCGGAGGCAGCCCCGGATCCCACCCCTCGCCCCCCTTCGCCTCCTCCAGAGGATCCAATAAATCAAAAGGCGAAATGAAACAAAATAAAGGGGAGAAAAACGCGAATAATCAGGACGAGAGCGCCGAGGACCAGGGAAGACTGGGGCCAGTGCCTCCCCGGGGGCAAGGAGCGGAGGGTGGGGGTGGGGGGAATAACGTGAAAGTTACCAGAAACATTATTTAGCAGCTGATTCCCCGCGTCCTTGTCAATTTCAGAGACAAAACAAGCAGCCCCGGCTAGTCTGGGCGGCGG